CGCAATAGCAACGCGCTTTATATCCGTGCCGTCCAACCAGAACGCTGGAAGGCGGGGCCACGCGGCGGGGCTGGCCAATGGGAAAGGTGGGAGCGGCGGCGGCGGGAGGGGCGGGGCGCGGCGGCGGCGGAGGGCGCGGAGCGGCACCGGCCGGGCCCGAGGTACCGGGGGGGCCCCGGGGGCGGCTCCGGGACGCGGCCCGGGCCCGGCGGGGGGAGCGGCGCGGGGCGGCCCGGGGGGCACCGGGGGCGCCCGGCGGGGAGCGCGGCACCGGCGGGGCCACGGGGGCTCCGGGCCCGGCCCGAGCAGGCCCCGCTGTCCCGCGGGCTCCGGGGGGGGCTCCTGCCCCGGCACCCCCGGGAGCGGCACCGCGGCGTCCCCGAGAGCCCCGGAGCGCGCTCGCTGCGGGCCGGGATCGGCTCCTGCACCCCGTTCCCGTTCCCAATCCTGTTCCCATTCCCATTCCCGTCCCCGTTCCCATTCCCATCCCAGTCTCATCCCAATTCCCACTCCCATTGCCGTCCCATTCCTATTCCCATCCCAATCCCATTCCTATTCCCTTTACCTTTTTCCATTCCCATTCCCGTTCTCTTTTCCATTCCAATCCCCATCCCATCCCAATCCTGTTCCCATTCCCATCCCCATCCCAATCTCATTCCCAATCCCCCTTCCCATTCCCATTCCCAATCCCATTCCTATCTTGTTCCCAATCCTATTCCCTTTCCCGTTCCCTTCTCCATTCCCATCCTAATCCCATCTCGGTTCCCATTCCCATCCCCATCCCATTCCCATCCCAATCCCTTTCCATTCCCATTCCCATCCCATACCCATTCTCATTCTCAATCCCATCTGTGTTCCCATTCCTATTCCTAATCCCATTCCATTCCCAATCCCATCCCCATTCCCATCCCATCCCATCCCTGTTCCCATTCCCAATCCCATTCCCATCCCATTCCTGTTCCCTTTTGCTTTCCCAATCCCAATCCCATTCCCATTCCTGTTCCCATTCCTATTCCTAATCCCATCCCAATCCCATCCCCCATTCCTGTACCGTTTTCCATTCCCAATCCCATCCCAATCCCATCCCATCCCCACCTCATTCCCATTCCCATTCCCATTCCCAATCCTGTTCCCATCCCCATCCCATTCCCATTCCCATTCTATTTCCATCCCACACCCATTCTCATTCTCAATCCCATTTTGGTTCCCATTCCCATCCCAGTCCCATCCCTGTTCCCTTTTCCATTCCCAATCCCATTCCCAATCCCATCCCCATCCCATTCCCAATCCTATTCCCATTCCCAATCCTGTTCCCATCCCCATCCCAATCCCATTCCCAATCCTATTCCCATTCCCAATCCTGTTCCCATCCCCATCCCAATCCCATTCCCAATCCCATTCTATTTCCATCCCATCCCATTCCCATCCCAATCCCATTCCCATCCCAATCCCATTCCCATTCCCATTCTATTTCCATCCCACACCCATTCTCATTCTCAATCCCATTTTGGTTCCCATTCCCATCCCAATCCAATCCCATTCCCTTTTCCACTCCCATCCCAATCCCATCCCATTCCCCATCCCTGTTCCCTTTTCCATTCCCAATCCCATCCCCACCCCATTCCCATTCCATCGGCTCAGGCCCCCCCAGTTCCCAGCGGGTCCCCCGGCCTGTACCACTCTCACATTTAGGGGAGCTCTCTGCCCCCAAATTCCCCCTCCCGCCGGGATTTGGGACATTCCTGGCATTTTTGGGATCTTTTCCAAGCCATGCCCAGGTGGGGACACCAGGCTGGGTGTCCAGCACCCCAAATCCAGCACTTGGGAAAGGCTTTCCCACACTCCTTGGGATTTTTGGGATAAAAACTTTGGGATTTGGGGCGTTATCCCGGAAACGTCCACGTCTGGGGAGTTTGGGGTTTTCATGGAATGCTGGAATGGTTTGGGGTTGGAAAAAACCCAAATCCCATCCAGGGACGTTTTCCACCATCCCAGGTGGATCCAGCCCGGCCTTGGCTTCCAGGAATTCTCTGGGAATTCCATTCCAGCCGGGAATGCCAGCCCAGTCTGCCCTTTCCCAGTGGGAGCCATTCCCTGCCTCCTGTCCCTGCATCCCTTGTCCCCTTTTTTTAATAATCCCTGATCCCTGAAACCCCAAACATTCCTGTTCCCATTTTCCCCCCTCTTTTTTCTCCCATTTTTCTCCATTTTTTCTCCCATTTTCCCCCTTTTTTTCTCTTTTTTTCCCATCTTTCCCCCCCTTTTTCCTTTCTCCAGCTCTCCTGGAGCCCCCTCAGGCACTCTGAGCATTCCCTGGATTTTTCCCTTCTCCAGGGGAACATTCCCAGCTCTGCCAGCCTGGCTTGGTGCATCCCCATGGCACAGGAAGGGTTAACCAGCAGAATTCCATCCCAAAATCCATCCCTGACCATCAGGAGCAGCGATTCCAGCCGGGAATTCCGCAGGGAATTCATCCCTGCCTCTGCTCCCCAGCCCCATTCCCTCTGGAAAAGCGGGAAGGGAAGCCCAGCTGGGATTTCTGGGATTTCTGGGATTCCTGATCCCTTTTCCCACCAGAGCCGTCCCACAATTCCGGGATTCCATCCACGGTTCTGCCGCCGCTCCCAAAATCCCAAAATCCCGCCGGAACAGGCGGGACCGGGATCGGGAACACGGCAGATCCTGGGATTGGGGAGCTGGAATTCTCCCGGGATTCCCAAACTGGAATTCTCCCGGGATTCCAAAATTGGAATTTTCCTGGCATTCCAAAGCTGGAATTCTCCCAAGACTTCGGAGCTGGAATTCTCCAAACCTGGAATTCTCCCAGGATTTCAGAGTTGGAATTCTCCCAGGACTCCAAAATTGGAATTCTCACAGGATTCTGGAGCTGGAATTTTCCTGGGATTCCAAAGCTGGAATTCTCCCAGGACTCCAAAGCTGGAATTCCCCTGGGATCGGGATCTGGAATTCTCCCGGGTGTCCAAAGCTGGAATTCTCCAAAACTGGAATTCTCCTGGGATTTCAGAGCTGGAATTCTCCCAGGATTCCCGAGCTGGAATTCTCCCGAGATTCCAAAGTTGGAATTTTCCTGGCATTCCCAAACCGGAATTCTTCCAGGATTCCAAACTTGGAATTCTCCCAGGATTCTGGAGCTGAAAATCTCCTGGGATTCCAAAACTGGAATTCTCCTGGGACTCTGGAGCTGGAATTGTCCCGAGATTTCACAGCTGGAATTGTCCCGGGATTCCAGAGTTGGAATTCTCCTGGGATTCCACAGCTGGAATTTTCTTGGGATTCCCAAATTTGAATTCTCACGGGATTCCACAGTTGGAATTCTCCTGGGGTTTTGGAGCTGGAATTCTCCAGGATTCCAAAGTTAGAATTCTTCTGGGATTCCAAAGCTGGAATTCTCCCAAGATTCCGGAGCTGGAATTCTCCAAAGCTGGAATTCTCCCAGAATTTTAGAGTTGGAATTCTCCTGGGACTCCAGAGATGGAATTTTCCCAGGAATCCACAGCTGGAATCCTCTTGGGATTCCAAAGCTGGAATTGCCCTGGGATTCCAGAGCTGGAATTCTCCTGAGGTTCCAGAGCTGGAATTCTCCCAGGATTCCCAAACGGGAATTTTCCTGGGATTCCAAAAGTGGAATTGTCCCGGGATCTTAGAGCTGGAATTCTCCTGGGATTCCAAAGCTGGAATTGTCCCAGGATTTCAGAATTGGAATTTTCCCAGCATTCCCAACCTGGAATTCTCCTGGGACTCCAAAGCTGGAATTGTCCTGGGATTCCCAAACCGGAATTCTCCCAGAACTCCAAAGCTGGAATTCTTCCAGGATTTCACAATTGGAATTCTCCCGAGATTCCAAAGCTGGAATTCTCCCAGGATTTCAGAGCTGGAATTCTCCCAGGATTCCAAAGCTGGAAATCTCCTGGGATTCCACAGCTAGAATTTTCCTGGAATCCCACAGCTGGAATTCTTCCAGGATTCCAAAATTGGAAATCTGGGCTTCCACATCTGGAATTCTCCTGGGATCCCACAGCTGGAATTCCCCTGGGAGCAGGGACAGCTCCAGGATTGTCCCACCCCATTGGGAATGGCCGAGCCCTGGGGGTTTTCATCATTCCCAACATTTCCTGGGAAGGGGAAAATCCCAAAATCCCATTTCCCTCCTTTCCCGCAGTGAGAGGAGCCCTGGGTTGGGTTGGGAATCCGGGAGAATTCCCAAAGGGTTAAATCTGTGTGGAGCTGGGCAAGGAGCCAGGCTGGGAGAGCTGGGAATGTTCCCCTGGAGAAGGGAAAATTCCAGGGAATCCTCAGAGCGCCTGGAGGGGCTCCAGGAGAGCTGGAGAGGGAAAAAACGGGAAAAAAATTGAGGAAAAAGGGGAGAAAAAAAAATGGGAGGAAAAGGGGAAAAAATTGAGAAAAAAGGGGGAAAATGGGAGGAAAAAATGGGGGGAAAAAACCAGAAAAAATGGGAAAAAAGAGGAGAAAACGGAAAAAGGAATGTTTGGGGTTTAGGGATCAGGGGTTATTTTAAAAAGGGGGACAAGGGATGGAGGGACAGGAGCCAGGGAATGGCTCCCACTGGGAAAGGGCAGATTGGGCTGGGATCTTGGCAAGGAATCCCTGGCTGGGCTGGAATTCCCAGATTTGCTGGGGCTGCCCCTGGATCCCTGGAATTAATTATTCCAAGGCCAGGCTGGATCCGCCTGGGACAGTGGGAGCTGTCCCTGCCCATGGATGGGATGGGAATTTTTGGGATTTAAGGTCTTTTCCAACCCAAACCACTCCAGGATTGTGGAGCTCCTTTACTCCGGGACAGCTGGGAATGCTCCCCTGGAGAAGGGGAAAAATTCCAGGGAATATTTAAAACCCCAGAAGAGGCTCCAGGAGAGCTGGAGAGGGCCGGCAATGGAATCCCGCGGGATCGGGGCCGGCTGTGGGAGCTGCAGCCGCTGCCTCATTCCCGAATCCCGAATGAATTCCCAGAGTCCCCCAGGATGAATGGCTCCGAGCTGGCCGGCAGCCCGGCCTCCAGCCCCGCGTCCAAGGAGGATCCCGTCGGGAACGGGCACGAGGAGAAGGAGAACAATCCCTTCGCCGAGTACATGTGGATGGAGAACGAGGAGGACTTCAACCGGCAGGTGAGATTCCCAAAGTTGGGAATTCCTGGGGTTTGGGAACAGCCTGGGGTGATTCCCAAAGCTGGGAATTGCTGGGGTCTGGGAACAGCCTGGGGTGATTCCCTTATCCAGGAATTCCTGGGATCTGGGAACAGCCTGGGGTGATTCCCAAAGTTGGGAATTGCTGGGGTTTGGGAACAGCCTGGGGTGATTCCCAAAGCTGGGAATTGCTGGGATTTGGGAACAGCCTGGGGTGATTCCCAAAGCTGGGAATTCCTGGGGTCTGGGAACAGCCTGGGGTGATTTCCAGAGAATTCCACATCCAGGGATTCTTGGGATCTGGGAACAGCCTGGGGTGATTCCCAGATATTTCCACATTTGGGAATTCTTGAGGTTTGGATTTCAGCCTGGGGTTGATTCCCAGAGAACTCCCACATCCAGGAATTCCCAGAGAATTCCACATCCAGGAATTCCCAGAGATCCCTGCATTCCCAATTGGGAATATTCCTGGAATTATTCCTGGAAAAGAGCTGGAATCCCCATTCCCGGTGGGATTTAACGGATGTGGCGCTTGGGGACAGGAAGGATCTCCGAGGGCTTTTCCAAGAATTCCAGGAATCAATCCCAGGCTGAAATCCTCAAGAATTCCGTGAGCTCCAGGGGATTTTTCCAGGCTCTTCCCACGGAAAATCCCTTGGGAATTGCTTCCCATGGGATGTGTCCGGGCCGGGGTTTGGATTTCGGCCTGGGGGTGATTCCCAGAGAATTCCACATCCAGGAATTCCCAGAGAATTCCACATCCAGGAATTCTTGGGATTTGGGTTCAGCCTGGGGGTGATTCCCAGAAATTCCCACATTTGGGAATTCTTGGGGTTTGGATTTCAGCCTGGGGGTGATTCCCAGGGAATTCCACATCCAGGAATTCCCAGAGATTCCCGATTGGGAATAATCCTGGAATTATTCCTAGAAAAGAGCTGGAATCCCCATTCCCGGTGGGATTTAACGGAAGTGGCGCTCGGGGGCAGGAAGGATCTCCGAGGGCTTTTCCAACCTCCGGAATTCCGTGAGCTCCAGGGGATTTTTCCAGGCTCTTCCCACGGAAAATCCCTTGGGAACGGCTTCCCATGGGATGTGTCCGGGCCAGGGTTTGGATTTCAGCTTGGGGGTGATTCCCAGAGAATTCCCACATCCAGGAGTTCCCAGAGAATTCCACCTCCAGGAATTCCCAGAGATTGCCACATTCCCAAATTGGGAATATTCGGAATTATTCCTGGAATATTCCTAGAAAAGAATATTAAATCCCACGTTCCCGGCGGGATTTAACGGACGTGGCGCTCGGGGGCAGGAAGGATCTCCGAGGGCTTTTCCAACCTCCGGAATTCCGCGAGCTCCAGGGGATTTTCCCAGGCTCTTCCCGCGGAAAATCCCTTGGGAACGGCTTCCCCTGGCGTGTCCCCGGGCAGGTGGAGGAGGAGCTGCAGGAGCAGGAGTTCCTGGATCGCTGCTTCCAGGAGATGCTGGAGGAGGAGGAGCGGGACTGGTTCATCCCGGCGCGGGACCTGCCGCAGGCCACGGCGCCGCTGCAGCAGCAGCTGCAGGGGCTGGGCCCGGGCGCCGGGCACGGCACCGACGACATCCTGGTGAGCGGCAGCGGCACTGCCCGGCATGGGCACGGGGCCGGGATGGGCACGGCCCTGGGATTGGCACATTCCCGGGATGGGCACTGCCCGGGATCGGCACATTCCCGGGATGGGCACTGCCCGGGATGGGCACGGGGCCGGGATCGGCACGGGGCCGGGATTGGCACGGGGCCAGGATGGGCACGGCCGTGGGATTGGCACGGCCGTGGGATTGGCACATTCCCGGGATGGGCACGGGGCCGGGATGGGCACGGCCCTGGGATCGGCACATTCCCGGGATCGGCACAGGGCCGGGATGGGCACGGGGCCGGGATGGGCATGGCTGTGGGATTGGCACATTCCTGGGATTGGCACATTCCCGGGATTGGCACATTCCCAATTCCCTGGGATTGGCACAGCCCTGGGATTGGCACATTCCCGGGATTGGCACATTCCCGGGATTGGCACATTCCTGGGATTGGCACAGCCCTGGGATTGGCACGGCCGTGGGATTGGCACATTCCTGGGATTGGCACATTCCCGGGATTGGCACAGCCCTGGGATTGGCACATTCCTGGGATTGGCACATTCCCAGGATTGGCACATTCCCGGGATTGGCACATTCCTGGGATTGGCACATTCCTGGGATTGGCACAGCCCTGGGATTGGCACATTCCCGGGATTGGCACGGCCCTGGAATTCTGTCCCTGGGATTGTCCTGTCCTTAGAATTCCATCCTTGGAATTCCATCCCTGGAATTTGTCCCATCCTTACAATGCTCCCATCCCTGGAATTCCACCCCTGGAATTGTGTCATCCCAGGGATCAGCTCATCCTTGGAATTGTCCCATCCTTAAAATCGTCCAGTCCTTGGAATTGTCCCATCCCTGGAATTCTTCTGTCCCTGGAATTGTCCCATCCCTGGAACTGCCCCATCCTTTGATTTGTCCCATCCTTGGAATTCCATCCCTGGAATTCTACCCCTGGAATTGTCCCATCCTCGGAATTCTCCCATCCCAGGAATTGTCCCATCCTTGGAATTCTACCTCTGGAATTGTCCCATCCTTAAAATTGTCCCATCCATGGGATTGTCCCAGTCTTGGAATTCTCCAATCCCTGGAATTGTCCCATCTCTGGGATTGGCCCATCCTTGGAATTCTCCCATCCTTGGAATTCTCCCATCCTTGAAATTGTTCCCTCCTTGGAATTGTCCAATCCCTGGAATTCTGTGCCTGGAATTGTCCCATCCCTGGAATTCTCCTGTCCCTGGAATTCTGTCCCTGGAATTGTCCCATCCCTGGAATTTTGTCACAGGAATTGTCCCAACCCTTGGAATTGGCCCATTCCTGGAATTCTCCCGCCTCTGGAATTCTCCCATCCTTAAAATTGTCCAATCCCTGGAATTGTCCCGTCCTTGGAATTGTCTCATCCTTGGAATTCTATCCCTGGAATTCTCCCATGCTTGAAATTGTCCCATCCATGGAATTGTCCATTCCTTGGAATTCTGTCCCTGGAATTGTCCCATCCTTAAAATTGTCCCATCCCTGGAATTGCCCCTGGATCCCTGGAAGTGTCCAAGGCCAGGTTGGATCCACCTGGAATATTTGGATTGGATGGGATTTAAGGATGGGATTGGAACGGGGCTGGGATGGGATTTGATGGGATTTAGGGATGGGATTTAGGGATGGGATTCAGGGATGGGATTGGGATGGGATTTGATGGGATTTAGGGATGGGATTCAGGGATGGGATTGGGATGGGATTTGATGGGATTTAGGGATGGGATTCAAGGATGGGATTTAGGGATGGGATTCAGGGATGGGATTGGAATGGGGCTGGGATGGGATTTGATGGGATTTAGGGATGAGATTTAGGGATGGGATTCAGGGATGGGATTGGAATGGGATTCAGGGATGGGATTGGGATGGGATTTGATGGGATTTGATGGGATTCAGGGATGGGATTCAAGGATGGGATTCAGGGATGGGATTCAAGGATCCCTTCCCACCCAAACCATCCCACAATTCCACCAATCCGCTCTCCACACGATCCCACAGAACCCCCGGATTTCCCAAACCCAACCCGAGACCCCAAACCTCGGCAACCATCCCAAAATCCCTGGAATTCCCAACGCTGACCGATCCCATTCCCATTTTATTTTATTTTATTTTTTCCCCAGAGCAAAAGCAACTTGAATCCGGACGCCAAGGAATTCGTTCCCGGAGTGAAGTACTGACCTCGGAAATTCGGGAATGGCCTGGCCAGAGACTGAATCCCTGCTCCAGGGAAAAGCTGGGACATGGGAAGGGCCCGGAGCGGCTCCGGCACCGGGATCTGCTCCGGCTCCAAGTATTTCTGCTTTTCCCCAGTTTTGTTTTTTCTTCTTTTTCTTGGCTTTTCCTCACTTTTTCTTGGCAGTTTTTGGCTTCCAGGGATTTGCGGCGACCCCGCCGGCGGGGAAATCTTGGGGGAAAAATCGCGGGAAAATCATGGAAAAATCTTGGGAAAATGACAGGAAAATCATGGAAAAATAATGCAAAAAATAATGGGAAAGTCACAGGAAAATCTTGGGGAAAATAATGGAAAATCATGGGAAAATAATGGGAAAATCTTGGGGAAAATCTTGGGAAAATGACAGGAAAATAATGGAAAAATCATGCAAAAAATAATGGGAAAGTCACAGGAAAATCACAGGAAAATCTTGGGAAAAATAATGGAAAATCATGGGAAAATAATGGAAAAATCTTGGGAAAAATAATGGGAAAATCTTGGGAAAAATAATGGGAAAATCACAGGAAAATAATGGGAAAAATCTTGGGAAAAAGAATGGAAAATCATGGGAAAATAATGGGAAAATAATGGAAAAATCTTGGGAAAATGACAGGAAAATCATGGAAAAATGATGCAAAAAATAATGGGAAAGTCACAGGAAAATCACAGGAAAATCTTGGGAAAAATAATGGTAAAATAATGGAAAAATCACAGGAAAATAATGGGAAAATCTTGGCAAAAATCATGGGAAAATGACAGGAAAATCATGGAAAAATCACAGAAAAATCATGGAAAATGACAGGAAAATCATGGAAAAATCTCGGGAAAATGACAGGAAAACCATGGAAAAATAATGCAAAAAATAATGGGAAAGTCACGGGAAAATCTTGGGAAAAATAATGGAAAATCGTGGCAAAATAATGGGAAAAATCTTGGGAAAAATAATGGAAAATCACAGGAAAATAATGGGAAAAATCTTGGGAAAAATAATGGGAAAATCATGGAAAAATCACAGGAAAATAATGGGAAAATCTTGGGGAAAATCATGGGAAAATGACAGGAAAATCATGGAAAAATCACAGAAAAATCATGGAAAATCACAGGAAAATCATGGAAAAATCTCGGGAAAATGACAGGAAAACCATGGAAAAATAATGCAAAAAATAATGGGAAAGTCACGGGAAAATCTTGGGAAAAATAATGGAAAATCGTGGCAAAATAATGGGAAAAATCTTGGGAAAAATAATGGAAAATCACAGGAAAATAATGGGAAAAATAATGGTAAAATCATGGAAAAATCACAGGAAAATAATGGGAAAATCTTGGGGAAAATCATGGGAAAATGATAGGAAAATCATGGAAAAATCACAGAAAAATCATGGAAAATGACAGGAAAATCATGGAAAAATCTCGGGAAAATGACAGGAAAACCATGGAAAAATAATGCAAAAAATAATGGGAAAGTCACGGGAAAATCTTGGGAAAAATAATGGAAAATCATGGCAAAATAATGGGAAAAATCTTGGGAAAAATAATGGAAAATCACAGGAAAATAATGGGAAAATCTTGGGGAAAATCATGGGAAAATGACAGGAAAATCATGGAAAAATCTTGGGGAAAATAATGGAAAATCATAGGAAAATCATGGAAAAATCTTGGGAAAATAATGGAAAAATCACAAGAAAAGCATGGAAAAATCACAGGAAAAGTAATGGAAAATCACAGAAAAATCATGGGAAAAATCATGCAAAAAATAATGGGAAAGTCACAGGAAAATCGCAGGAAAATCTTGGGAAAAATAATGGAAAATCATGGGAAAATAATGGAAAAATCTTGGGAAAATGACAGGAAAATCATGGAAAAATAATGCAAAAAATAATGGGAAAGTCACGGGAAAATCATGGAAAAATATTGGGAAAATAACGGTAAAATCATGGAAAAATCACGGAAAAATCTTGGGAAAAATAATGGAAAATAATGGAAAAATCACAGGAAAAGTAATAGAAAATCACAGAAAAATCATGGAAAAATCTTGGGAAAAATAATGGGAAAATAATGGAAAAATAATGGAAAATCACAGGAAAATCATGGAAAAATCTTGGGAAAAATAATGGGAAAATAATGGAAAAATAATGGAAAATCACAGGAAAATAATGGGAAAATCTTGGGAAAATAACAGTAAAATCATGGAAAAATCACAGGAAAATAATGGGAAAAATCTTGGGAAAAATAATGGAAAAATAATGGAAGAATAATGAGAAAAGCATGGAAAAATCATGGGAAAATGACAGGAAAATAATGGAAAATCATGGAAAAAATGGAAAAATCACAGGAAAATCATGGAAGGTCTTGGGGGAAAATAATGGAAAAATCATGGGAAAAAAATGGAAAAATCATGGGAAATCATGGGAAAAATAATGGAAAAATCATGAAAAAATAATGAGAAAAGCACGGAAAAATCACGGGAAAATCTTGGGGAAAATAATGGAAAAATAATGAAAAAATAATGGGAAATAATGGAAAAATCTTGGGAAAAATAATGGGGAAAAAAAAGCATGGGAAAATAATGGGAAATCAATAATGGGAAAATCATGGAAAAATAACGGGAAAATCAGGTTTTCCTGCTTCCAGAGGATTTTTAGGATTGGGAGCTGCACTGGATTTTCCCTGGTCTTTTGGAATGCGATTTTCCCTGATTTTTCCGGAATGGGATTTTCCTGATTTTTCTGGAATGGGATTTTTTCCCCCCTGATTTTTCTGGAATGGGATTTTCCCCTGATTTTTCCAGAGTGGAATTTTCCCTGATTTTTCCAGAATGGAATTTTCCCTGATTATTCCAGAATGGGATTTTCCCTGATTTTTCTGGAATGTGATTTTTTCCCCCCCCCTGATTTTTCCAGAATGGGATTTCCCCTGATTTTTCCGGAATGTGATTTTTTTTCCCCCTGATTTTTCTGGAATGGAATTTTCCCTGATTTTTCCAGAATGGGATTTCCCCTGATTTTTCTGGAATGTGATTTTCCCCTGATTTTTCTGGAATGGAATTTTCCCCTGATTTTTCTGGAATGGAATTTTCCCTGATTATTCCGGAATGGAATTTTCCCTGATTTTTCCAGAGTGGAATTTCCCCTGATTTTTCCGGAATGTGATTTTTTCCCCCCTTGATTTTTCTGGAATGGGATTTCCCCTGATTTTTCCGGACTGGGATTTTCCCTGCTGGAAGTGAGGGGTCCCGAGGTGCAATCCCGAAATTCCTCCGTACGGAAGCTGAGCAGGGGGATCCTGCCAATCCCAGAGGTTTTTAGGGAAAAATTTGGATTTCCCCAAATTCCTCTTCCCCTTCTGGAATTCCTCAGCTCATCCAACACTACAGCCCCGATTCCTCCCGGCTGAAAAATCCAAGGAAAACCAAAATTCCTGGGAAAAGAGAGGGTTGGGATGAGGGGGATTTTGGGATGTGGTGGGAATTTCCCGGTGCTGATCCCTTTTCCAAGGATCCTGGGGTGGGATCCGTGTCTCCGTCAGATCCTGGGAATTTCCTTCTCCATCCATGGGAGCTCCCTAAATCCCGGCCATTCCCAAAGTTCTGAAAGGCTCAGAAATCCAAGGAAAGCAGGAGATCCTTGGGGATGGGAATCCCTGTCCAAGGAAACCTGGGAATTTTTGGGATTGGGAATCCCTGTCCAAGGAAATCAGGAACCCCTTGGGATTAGGAATCCCTGTCCGAGAAAATCAGGAAGTTTTTGGGATTGGGAATCTCTATCCAAGGAAATCTGGAACTTTTTGGGATTGGGAATCCCTGTCCAAGGAAATCAGGAGCTCCTTGGGGCCAGAAATCTGTATCTAGAGAAATCAGGAATGTTTTGGGATTGGGAATCCCTGTCCAAGGAAATCTGGGAATTTTTGGGATTGGAAATCCCTATCCAGGAAAAGTGGGAGCTTCCCAAGGTCAGAAATCCCTATCTAAGGAAATCAGAAGCTCATTTGGATTGGGAATCCCTGTCCAGGGACATCAGGAATTCCTTGGGATTGGGAATCCCTGTCTGGAGACATCAGGAACTTTTTGGGATTGGGAATCCTTATCCAATGAAATCAGGAGCTCCTCAGGGTCAGAAATCCCTGTCCAGGGAAATCAGGAGCTCCTTGGGATGGGGAATCTCTATCCAGGGAAATCGGGAACTCTTTGGGATTGGGAATCCCTGTCCAGAGAAATCGGGAATGTTTTGGGATTGCAAATCCCTACAGAGGAAAAGCAGGAGCTCCTTGGGGTTGGGAATCCTCATCCAAGGAAATCAGGACCTTTTTGGGATTGGAAATCCCTGTCCAAGGAGAGCAGGAGCTTCCCAAGGTCGGAAATTCCTATCTTAGGAAATCAGAAACTCATTTGGATTGGGAATCCCTGTTCAGGGAAATCAGGAACTTTTTGGGATTGGGAATCCCTATCCAGGAAAAGTGGGAGCTTCCCAAGGTCAGAAATCCCTGTCCAGGGAAATCAGGAATGTTTTGGGATTGGAATTCCCTATCCAGGGAAAGCAGGAACTTTTTGGGATTTGGAATCCCTGTCTAGGGAATGCAGGAGCTGATTCGGATTGGGAATCTCTATCCAAGGAAATCTGGAACTTTTTGGGATTGGGAATCCCTGTCCAAGGAAATCTGGGAATTTTTGGGATTGGGAATCCCTGTCCAAGGAAATCAGGAACTTCCTGGGATTGGGAATCCCTGTCAGGGAAATCAGGAACTGTTTGGGATTGGGAATCCCTGTCCAGGGAAATGAGGAGCTCCTTGGGGCCAGAATTCCATATCAAGAGAAATCTGGAACTTTTTGGGATTGGGAATCCCTGTCCAAGGAAATCGGGAACGTTTTGGGATTGGGAATCCCTACAGAGGAAGATCAGGAGCTCCTTGGGGTTGGGAGTCGCTATCCAAGGAAATCAGGAACTTTTTGGGATTGGGAATCTCTATCCAAGGAGAGCAAGAGCTTCCCAAGGTCAGAAATCCCAGGAAAATCCAGAGAAATCAGGATATTTTTTGGGATTGGGAATCCCTGTCCAGGGACATGAGGAGCTCCTTGGGGCCAGAATTCCGTATCAAGAGAAATCTGGAACGTTTTGGGAT